ACCATGCGTGGTTAAATGTATACTCACACTGTGTAAGTTACTAATACATATATGCATATGTAAATATAATTACGCACCAATATGTACGTTATAACGCTTTCTAAGCACCAGTAGTTCAGCGTTCAAATTTTTTATTGGAGTGGTTATAATAACCGCTTAAGTCTGGATGATGTCTTTACCACTTATGTACGTACGTATTTCAAACATACTCGAACATACATATGTGTGTATATCACTCGCTATAACACTCTTCGTTGCAACTGAGCACAGAAAGGTATAGGCATGGAGAAAAATGTTTTAAGCATTTGGATCGTAATTTTATCCTTATGGGGAAGCCAAAATATGTTCGTCGATAACTCTTTAAATACACATGGAATAGTAGTTGCAGAATACGATAGTATATATAACTAAATTTTTTCTTAAGTCGACTTAGGCGGTTATTGCTTATGACCACACAGAATTATTGGTACCAAATATTATTCAGTTATGTTTTCTAGGTATGTACTATCACTTTCGTGGCCTTAGGAGTTATGGTTGCTTGAAGAAAGTACATAGTAGCATTTACTATGCGAATGTCCAGTCTCCTACATAGCAAACAATAAGTCTGATAAAGATTTCCTGGCGATTTTCTTATCGGTAATATTTTTAACATTTCTCAACAACTTATTTCGGTGTCTCCCTTTTTATTACGGAAAATACCTCCCGCTTCCTACATCGATCCTACAAAGCTCGCGTTTCGACTAATCGCTGCGTGGTTCTTTAGGGAATACCTGTTTCTTCTACAGTGGCTTAATATTTTCATTGGACTCACAAATATGAGCCTACTTCTTCGGAAGCGGTTCTTAAGAAGCGTTAAACGTGATCCCACTGTTCGCGTTACTCATATTTATTTTGACGTATTTGTGTACCAAAACGTTTACGAAAATGCAAAAAAATTTATTAAAATAGGTTTAAATAAATATAAAGTTAATTATTCAAATATTTTACTTATACACATTGCCCATAAACCAATTTTCCGCAATTTTTGAGCGAATAAATTAAGCTTTTACCTCTTTTCCCTACACTCGTTTTTTCGCCTCTAATCCCTACGGGTAGGGAATTACCCCTACATATGCCAACACTCATCATTTATTAGAACTAACTATTATACATTTCTGTGTTATTAAAAGAACTAGCGATGGCAATAGCCATAAAAAATCGCAGCGAATTAAAAATCACAAACACTTTTTTCACTGATACTGAAAAATCGCTATTTCGTACAGCTATGAGATGTGACTTTCAGTTGACCCCTGAATGCTTCGCCTCTTGCTCAATCTCCGAAATTTCTCTGCCAGTTTAAGGCTGCCTTCAATCTACATAGAGGAAATGTTGTCTTCCTTGTAGTCCACCACGAAGATGTGTAGCTTGTACGTAAAATCCTTTGCTTTACCCGGATCTAAAGCCTAACGCCGCCTTGTTCTGATATTATAATTCTGAACTGACCATAAGTATGTCCATGCAGTTATTATATTTCGATTTTGTTTGAATGTCAAGGAACCCGTGGGTGAGAGTTGGGTGGAGATGATGCTGGCTTTCTCTCATGATTGCAGCTTTTCGAAGTCGAGCTTTCCTGGTATCGTTCATCTGCTTCATAAACTGCTACGAGGTAATTAATTACACAGCTAACATAATTGTAATTAATAAAGGCATAACACCGCCTAAGCCATGCCGCAAGATGTTATGCTACACTTTGATTTGCTATTAATTTGTACTCGTTTCAAACCAGCCTGATTTCATCGCCAGCCAATCTCAATGACCGCCATCAATACGACAAGTGCAAAGCAGGAAGACACTAGATATTTTTTTTTTTTAATTTTTTCCTTCGATTATGCTCTTTGCCACTTTTT